TAGTTTATTGACTAAATATCTATGTTTCATGAGATACACACCATAGTTTATTGACTACATATCTATGTTTCATAGGATACACACCATAGTTTATTGACTACATATCTATGTTTCATGGATACACGCCATAGTTTATTGACTACATATCTATGTTTCATGGATACACACCATAGTTTATTGACTATATATCTATGTTTCATGGATACACACCATAGTTTATTGACTACATATCTATGTTTCATGGGATACACACCATAGTTTATTGACTATATATCTATGTTTCATGGGATACACACCATAGTTTATTAACTACATATCTATGTTTCATGGGATACACACCATAGTTTATTGACTACATATCTATGTTTCATGGGATACACACCATAGTTTATTAACTATATATCTATGTTTCATGGGATACACACCATAGTTTATTGACTACATATCTGTGTTTCATGGGATACACACCATAGTTTATTAACTACATATCTATGTTTCATGGATACACACCATAGTTTATTGACTGCATATCTATGTTTCATGGATACACACCATAGTTTATTGACTACATATCTATGTTTCATGGGATACACACCATAGTTTATTGACTACATATCTATGTTTCATGGGATACACACCATAGTTTATTGACTACATATCTATGTTTCATGGGATACACACCATAGTTTATTGACTATATATCTATGTTTCATGGATAAACGCCATAGTTTATTGACTACATATCTATGTTTCATGGGATACACACCATAGTTTATTGACTATATATCTATGTTTCATGGATACACACCATAGTTTATTAACTACATATCTATGTTTCATGGGATACACACCATAGTTTATTGACTAAATATCTATGTTTCATGGGATACACACCATAGTTTATTGACTACATATCTATGTTTCATGGGATACACACCATAGTTTATTGACTACATATCTATGTTTCATGGGATACACACCATAGTTTATTGACTATATATCTATGTTTCATGGGATACACACCATAGTTTATTGACTACATATCTATGTTTCATGGGATACACACCATAGTTTATTGACTACATATCTATGTTTCATGGGATACACACCATAGTTTATTGACTACATATCTATGTTTCATGGGATACACACCATAGTTTAGTTTCATATCGGCTTGAATTGAACAAACAAGAAATGGTTATTCAAACGTATTTGATACATGCAGTATATTCATATTCATGGTCCTGAAATCTGCAACTGTTTCGGCAGCTGATTTCAAGTCAGAAAGGCTTTCATAACGTTTCCAATACGTTTGTTAAATCTAATTTGCAAATGTGTACTTTCTTTGCCTGACAGTTTACATATCATTCACAGAAAATCACTTGCATTGGCTCTGTGCTCAAGTCGTTCTTGTCTCTGGCTCTCCTGTGGCGACCACATTCATAACAATATAAGTTGTTCACTGGTCACGAGGGGGCATTGGTTGATGTATGGCTCAGGGAACATAAACAAACACCGAGGGTAACATCAACCCATGGGCCCCGAGGAACCAGTGAACAACGTATTTATCTTACCGAACACCTTAATGTTAATTTTGAATAGTTTGAAGCACGGGTACAAATCTTTTTGTAGCCATCGCTAGATTTTGCAGACAAGAAAAACAGATTTAGAGTTATCTCCCTTCCATCGATTTGCATTCGCAAAACATCGGTAATTTCCGTACATCATACGTGTTTCAATGTTATTCGAGATAAAGAATTACTACCGCGAAGTACCAAATGAGTTGCCACTAACAGCGGGGTACATTATAAGTTGTATGCTTCTCTCGAGGGTAATACGGTCTGATGTACGCCTCTTTGTAGCAGTGTCACCCGAGCCGGTAGGCGAGGGATGACACTGCTACAAAGAGGCGTACATCAGACCGTATTATCGGAGGGAGAAGCATACAAAGTATTTATCTTACCGCCATGTCAAATGTACCAAATATCATTTTATTTTATGTTAAAGATCGCTACCGATCACACGATTGTTAGCGCTTCAGCTTTTCGGCGGAGAGCTTGGTGGCAGCGGGTAATATTTTTTCCAGTTTTCACCCTCATTGAAGGGTGACACGGAAACTTGTTAAACCGTCATTGACCAATGAAAATAAAGTATTTTACATGAAGGTAGGATAATGAAATGTTACTCACTTGTAAGCGTGGTACATTGAAAATAATAGAAGAGCGCTCAGCCAATCAGAAAGCGACATTTATGTGTGAGGTAAGATAAAATTCCGCTTGGTCTTTCTTTGTCTACGCTCCTTAATGCAATCTGTTTCTGTTTTTTATCAGCGTCACGAGTGCCCATGCTATTAACCCTCTATTAACAACTATTAGTCGGCTCACACTTAATCCCGTGTGAATCGATTGCTGACTAGCCTTTGCTGTTTTATTTCTAACAGGAGTCAAATCCATATGATTGTAGTTTGTATAAGGTCAGCGTTAAGGTTCACGTAGCCGACATGATGTAAAGTCCGGGGGCCTGTCGGTGAAAAATAAAAAAAAAGACACAAGAATTAATTAATCTTGATTTGTTCATATCTACGACAGTCATGAAGACAAAAAAGATCTATTTTTTATTCTGCTTAATTGTGCCTGTTTAGGAGTGGCTATGGGAAATCTGCATCTCGAAAAGTAGTAAACACCTGTCTTAAAAAACTAAGTTATTCTGTTTTATTATGTATTCCTGAAATACAAAATAAATACAGCAAAATCATTAGTTGTCAAATTTGCGGATTTTTAGCCCCTAATACTGATTGCTCTGGAAGCAAAAGCGGATCAAATATGAAGCTGAACATCAAAATATATATAAGTATACTTACAGAAACGAATGAGGGAATACATGAAGGTACAAGTGTTCCTTTGCTTATTTCCAGAATTTCACCCTCAGTGCAATACATACCTTGTGAAGAAATCCTGAAAAGAATAAAGGAACACTTGCACTTTCATGTGTTCCCTTATTTGTTTCCATGAGTATATAGATTGAATCAGATGCAACTATCACAAAGTCAGACACCCCGTTCTTTAATATATGAGACTGTATCAGTAAATGAAATATAAAGAAAGAAGAATGTCAAGATCTAGCGCAAAGCCTTCTTGTCAGTTTACACTTGTCTTGTACCTACAGTTTTCCTCCCAACACTGACACAGGAAGCAAGCAATTGAAGCAGCAGTCGGCGGAGCCTGAGTTTGAGTCGGCGCCAAAGTAATAATTGGTCGGCCGAAGGGAAACATTGAAATGTTTTGTTTTGTTTTGTTTTGTTTTGTTTTTTGTTTTTGTTTTTGTTTTTGTTTTTGTTTTTGTTTTTGCTTTTTAACATTCAAGTTAGTTTGGGCTTTCTTTATTTTTCTTTATTTTATGTACAACAGATCTCAACCCACATCTGCAAGGATTTTTTTTTCCTGGCCCAAAATGAGACCCCCTATTCAAAACATTTTACCGCCATCAATGATCAACGCATAGTGCATATCATTCGTGCCATCCATTTCTCATAACACCAACTTTATGATTGCGTTGGTTTACGAGCAATAATTTAATGTAATTACAAAGGTAAAAAAGATGAAAATTCGCACGTCCATAGACAAAGGGTTCGCCAACACAACAGCAGCAGAACATCTTTATTGCAAGTGTTTATGACGCTTGACCCAAGTAGAGCAGGATACGCTCACCTTTCGCGAATACGTGGTATCAACATTCGTATTTGTTTGTTTGATCAACAACACGAACATCGATCGACCCAACTGAGATACCATTTCATGTGTCAACCAAGTCAGCGAGCCGAACCACCCGAACCCGTTAGTCGCCTCTTACGACAAGCATGGGCCTTCACAGATCCAGTGATTCATAAACACATGTTCATGATACAGTCAAAATCTCATAATAGCATTTATACACGCACTGACAAATATTGTCAACCGTTCATGTACACATATGCACTCAGTGATAACGTTGCAGTTATATACTAAGAGAAAAAAGTAAGGGATCACATGGAAGCACAAGTGTTTTTTTTCCCCCAGGTTTCTTCACAAGCTATGCGATACAAAGCTTGTGAAGAAACCTTGGAAAAAATAAAGGAACACTTGCAAAGCTTGTGAAGAAACCTGGAAAACATTAAAGGAACACTTGCAAAGCTTGTGAAGAAGCCTGGAAAAAAATAAAGGAACGCTTGCAAAGCTTGTGAAGAAACCTGGGAAAAAAATAAAGGAACACTTGTGCTTTCATGTGGTCCCTTATTTTGTCCCCTCAGTATATTTCCAGTAGTAGCAAAGCATATCAAACAAAAGTCTGAGGATATAAAGCAATATGTTGCAACGGTGCCGTTTGCATTTCAACTTTTGGCCATTATTGGGGAACATTATTTCGTGTTGGAATCCAAATTCGAATAACTTTTGGTAAAGTTTCTTTTGTTCGTCCGGGTAGTGCAGGAGAATCATAACTAAAACAATTTATTAATACGGAAAACATAATCATGTACTCTTAATCTACGGAGGCCGTGGGATGGCCTTGTGGTTAAAGCGTAAGCTTGTGAACCCGAAGACCTGGGTTCTAATCCTCACATAGTTAATATGTGTGGAGCCCATTTCTGATGTCCCCGCAGCGAAATTGCTGGAATATTGCTAAAACATACTCACTCTCTATGGAGCCGAGAAGATCCGGGCTAGAATTGGTTTTCAGCAACACTTGCTTGTCGTAAGAGGATCGGGTGGTCAAGCTCGCTGACCTGGTTGAAACATGTCATAGTATCCCAGTTGCGTAGATCGATGCTCATGATGTTGATCACTATATTGTTTACTTAAGACTCGATTATTTACTGACCACCATCGTATAGCTGAAATATTGCTGGGTGCGGCGTTAAATAAACAAACAGAGTCAAAAAATGAATCAATGGCGGGTCTGACAATTTTGTTGATTCACTTTATTCTTTATTCTCTATAAAATGCTGTCAGTTGATATATTTTCAGTGAAAAAGACCGTACCGGCCGCTGCACACCTCTTCTTGGATAAAGACAAGACCGTAAACATCACAAGTGAGTGAGTGAGTGAGTTTAGTTTTACGCCGTTTTTAGCTATATTCCAGCAATATTACGGAGGGGAACACCGGGAATGGGCTTCACACATCGTACCCAGTGATCTGTTCTGCTGGGGAGACTAGCACGATGTACTGGTGATCTGTTCTACTGGGGAGACGAGCATGATATACTGGTGATCTGTTCTATTCGGGAGATTAGCATGATGTACTGGTGATACGTTCTACTGGGGAGTCTATCATGATGTACTGGTGATCTGTTCTACTGGGGAGACTATCATGATGTACTAGTAATGTGTTCTACTGTGGAGTCTATCATGATGTACTTGTGATCTGTTCTGCTGGGGAGACTAGCATGATGTACTGGTGATCTGTTCTACTCGGGAGACTAGCATGATGTACTGGAGATACGTTCTACTGGGGATTCTATCATGATGTACTGGTGATCTGTTCTACTGTGGAGACTATCATGATGTACTAGTAATGTGTTCTACTGGGGAGTCTATCATGATGTACATATGATCTGTTCTACTAGGGAGACTAGCATGATGTACTGGTGATATTTTCTACTAGGCAGACTATCATGATGTACTGGTGATCTGTTCTACTAGGAGACAAGCATGATGTACTGGTGTTATGTTCTACTGGGGAGACTAGCATGATGTACTGGTGATCTGTTCTACTGGGGAGACTAGCATAATGTACTGTTGATCTGTTCTACTGCGGAGACTTTCATGATGTACTGGTGACCTGTTCTACTTGGGAACACTAGCATGATGTACTTGTGATCTGTTCTACTGGGGACACTTGCATGATATGCTGGTGATCTGTTCTGCTGGGGAGACTAGCATGATGTACTGGTGATCTGTTCTACTAGGGAGACTAGCATGATGTACTGGTGATCTGTTCTACTGGGGAGACTAGCATGATGTACTGGTGACCTGTTCTGCTGGGGAGACTATCATGATGTACTGGTGATCTGTTCTACTGGGGAGACTAGCATGATGTACTGGTGATCTGTTCTGCTGGGGAGATTAGCATGATGTACTGGTGATCTGTTCTGCTGGGGAGACTATCATGATGTACTGGTGATCTGTTCTACTGGGGAGACTATCATGATGTACTGGTGATCAGTTCTGTTCGGGAGACTATCATGATGTACTGGTGATCTGTTCTACTGGGGAGACTATCATGATGTACTGGTGTTCTGTTCCAATAGGGACACTAGCATGACGTACTGGTGAACTGTTCTACTGGGGAGTCTATCATAATGTACTGTTGACCCGTTCTAATAGGGACACTAGCATGATGTACTAGTGAACTGTTGTACTGGGAGACTAGCAGGAGGTACTTGTGATCTGTTCTCCTAGGGAGACTAGCATGACGTACCGGTGATCTGTTCTACTGGGGAGACTACCAGGAGGTACTGGTGATCTGTTCTACTAGGGAGACTAGCATGACATACCGGTGAACTGTTCTACTGGGGAAACTAGCATGAGGTACTGGTGATCTGTTCTACTGGGGAGACTAGCATGATGTACTGGTGATCTGTTCTGCTGGGGAGATTAGCATGATGTACTGGTGATCTGTTCTGCTGGGGAGACTATCATGATGTACTGGTGATCAGTTCTGCTGGGGATACTATCATGATGTACTGGTGATCTGTTCTACTGGGGAGACTATCATGATGTACTGGTGATCTGTTCCAATAGGGACACTAGCATGATGTACTAGTGAACTGTTGTACTTGGGAGACTAGCAGGAGGTACTTGTGATCTGTTCTACTAGGGAGACTAGCATGACGTACCGGTGATCTGTTCTACTGGGGACAATTGCATGATATGCTGGTGATCTGTTCTGCTGGGGAGACCAGCATGATATACTGGTGATCTGTTCTGCTGGGGAGACTAGCATGACGTACTGGTGATCTGTTCTACTGGGGAGACTAGCATGATGTACTGGTGATCTGTTCTACTGGGGAGACTATCATGATGTACTGGTGACCTGTTCTGCTGGGGAGACTATCATGATGTACTGGTGATCTGTTCTACTGGGGAGACTAGCATGATGTACTGGTGATCTGTTCTGCTGGGGAGATTAGCATGATGTACTGGTGATCTGTTCTGCTGGGGAGACTATCATGATGTACTGGTGATCAGTTCTACTGGGGATACTATCATGATGTACTGGTTATCTGTTCTGCTCGGGAGACTAGCATGAAGTACTGGTGATCTGTTCTACTCGGGAGACGAGCATGATATACTGGTGATCTGTTCTACTCGGGAGACAAGCATGATGTACTGGTGATACGTTCTTCTGGGGAGTCTATCATGATGTACTGGTGATCTGTTCTACTGGGGAGACTATCATGATGTACTAGTAATGTGATTTACTGGGGAGTCTATCATGATGTACTTGTGGTCTGTTCTACTAGGGAGACTAGCATGATGTACTGGTGATATGTTCTACTAGGGAGACTATCATGATGTACTGGTGATCTGTTATGCTGGGGAGACTATCATGATGTACTGGTGATCTGTTCTGCTGGGGAGACTATCATGATGTACTGGTGATCTGTTCTACTGGGGAGACTAGCATGATGTACTGGTGATCTGTTCTACTGGGAAGACTTTCATGATGTACTGGTGATCTGTTCCAATAGGGACACTAGCATGATGTACTAGTGAACTGTTGTACTTGGGAGACTAGCAGGAGGTACTTGTGATCTGTTCTACTAGGGAGACTAGCATGACGTACCGGTGATCTGTTCTACTGGGGACAGTTGCATGATATGCTGGTGATCTGTTCTGCTGGGGAGACCAGCATGATGTACTGGTGATCTGTTCCAATAGGGATACTAGCATGACGTACTGGTGAACTGTTCTACTGGGGAGTCTATCATAATGTACTGTTGACCCGTTCTAATAGGGACACTATCATGATGTACTGGTGAACTGTTGTACTTGGGAGACTAGCATGAGGTACTGGTGATCTGTTCTACTAGGGAGACAAGCATGACGTACCGGTGATCTGTTCTACTGGGGAGACTAGCATGATGTACTGGTGACCTGTTCTGCTGGGGAAACCATCATGATGTACTGGTGATCTGTTCTACTAGGGACAATAGCATGACGTACAGGTGATCTGTTCTACTGGGGAAACTAGCATGAGGTACTGGTGACCTGTTCTACTGGGAACACTAGCGTGACGTACCGCTGATCTGTTCACCTGGGGAGACTAGCATGAGGTACTGGTGATCTGTTCTGCTGGGGAGACTATCATGATGTACTGGTGATCTGTTCTACTGGGGAGTCTATCATAATGTACTGGTGACCTGTTCTACTGGGGAGTCTATCATTATGTACTGGTGATCTGTTCCAATAGGGACAATAGCATGCCTTCCTGGTGAACTCTTGTACTTGGGAGTCTATCATAATGTAGTGGTGATCTGTTCCAATAGTGAAACTAGCATGATGTACTGTTGATCTCTTCTACTGGGGAGACTATCATGATGTACTGGTTATCTGTTCTGCTCGGGAGACTAGCATGAAGTACTGGTGATCTGTTCTACTGGGGAGACTAGCATGATGTACTAATAATGTGTTCTACTGGGAAGTCTATCATAATGTACATGTGATTTGTTCTGCTGGGGAGATTAGCATGATGTACGGGTGATCTGTTCTGCTGGGGAGACTATCATGATGTACTGGTGATCAGTTCTACTGGGGATACTATCATGATGTACTGGTGATCTGTTCTGCTGGGGAGACTATCATGATGTACTGGTGATCTGTTCTACTGGGGAGACTAGCATGATGTACTGGTGATCTGTTCTACTGGGAAGACTTTCATGATGTACTGGTGATCTGTTCCAATAGGGACACTAGCATGATGTACTAGTGAACTGTTGTACTTGGGAGACTAGCAGGAGGTACTTGTGATCTGTTCTACTAGGGAGACTAGCATGACGTACCGGTGATCTGTTCTACTGGGGACAGTTGCATGATATGCTGGTGATCTGTTCTGCTGGGGAGACCAGCATGATGTACTGGTGATCTGTTCCAATAGGGACACTAGCATGACGTACTGGTGAACTGTTCTACTGGGGAGTCTATCATAATGTACTGTTGACCCGTTCTAATAGGGACACTATCATGATGTACTGGTGAACTGTTGTACTTGGGAGACTAGCATGAGGTACTGGTGATCTGTTCTACTAGGGAGACAAGCATGACGTACCGGTGATCTGTTCTACTGGGGAGACTAGCATGATGTACTGGTGACCTGTTCTGCTGGGGAAACCATCATGATGTACTGGTGATCTGTTCTACTAGGGACACTAGCATGACGTACAGGTGATCTGTCTCTACTGGGGAAACTAGCATGAGGTACTGGTGACCTGTTCTACTGGGAACACTAGCGTGACGTACCGCTGATCTGTTCACCTGGGGAGACTAGCATGAGGTACTGGTGATCTGTTCTGCTGGGGAGACTATCATGATGTACTGGTGATCTGTTCTACTGGGGAGCTCTATCATAATGTACTGGTGACCTGTTCTACTGGGGAGTCTATCATTATGTACTGGTGATCTGTTCCAATAGGGACAATAGCATGCCTTCCTGGTGAACTCTTGTACTTGGGAGTCTATCATAATGTAGTGGTGATCTGTTCCAATAGTGAAACTAGCATGATGTACTGTTGATCTCTTCTACTGGGGAGACTATCATGATGTACTGGTTATCTGTTCTGCTCGGGAGACTAGCATGAAGTACTGGTGATCTGTTCTACTGGGGGGACTAGCATGATGTACTAATAATGTGTTCTACTGGGAAGTCTATCATAATGTACATGTGATTTGTTCTGCTGGGGAGATTAGCATGATGTACGGGTGATCTGTTCTGCTGGGGAGACTATCATGATGTACTGGTGATCAGTTCTACTGGGGATACTATCATGATGTACTGGTTATCTGTTCTGCTCGGGAGACTAGCATGAAGTAC